TATATATATATATATATATATATATATATATATATATATATATATATATATATATATAAATCTTCGAATATAACGTTTTTGTATGCTACGCCACTTGAACCTACAAATAGAACTCTGTCACGAATTGCAAATTGTCTGAAGCGGATCTCCAATTGCCTATTATTTCCGCGACGAGACATCGCGGAAGAACGAACAAACGAACGGGAAAGAATGTCGCGAGAGATCCCGTCGCGGTCCATCGAATCTCCTCTTCGATTTTACCCCTTCGATTCACGAGGGGCGAGAAAGAGTGTAGATCCGGAGAGAGATGATGTCTTTGCCCGCGGGGGGACTCGGGGAACGTTAAGTCATAGTCTTTCTAATAGGCGAGAGAGGTATTTAGAGCCTTTAGCCGTAAGAGACGTAGATTTTAGAGTTGGAGGCATGCGATCGTGTAAAATATATCCGTTTCTATGGGAGTATTCGAGTCACCGATCTTAGCCGTTAAGGATTCTTAAGCGCCGCTACGTGAGACGAGGACTCGGAGGAAGAGGCCACGAGAGATGTCGAGGCACCGACGGGAGATGCGACTGAAGAACGAATTCGCGAGACGGGGGGATACCACCGTGTCGTTCCTCGCGCGTCGGACCGGCGTACGATAAGAATACTTAATAATCTAAGTAGATAAGTACACGCGATATATGCATATTACGCATAGCTTGCAAAAATTTTTCTAAGATACAAACATACACTCACACATACTCACACACGTACATGCGATCGGAAATATTTATTTTTATTCAAATGTAAGCGTAAGATAAAACTACTTGATGAAAGTCTGTCAAAAGGTGAGGAAGAGAGAAAAGAGAGAGAGAGAGAGAGAGAGAGAGAGAGAGAGAGAGAGAGAAAGAGTCGACGGAATCGTAAGCGATAGAATGATCGAAACCCTCTCGACGAGCCTTGCATCGCTCAAGCTTGTGCATTCTTTGCGAAATGAATGAATGAATAAACAATACAACACACGCAGGCTCGTATCAGCAGTCGTCACTTGAAACTTGTCTCATATGAGGTACTCAGATTTTTATTCAGAGTTAGATCCAAGTTTCACAAATGTGTTATATGATGCATGCGACATTTTATATCTACGATCGCGCGATTCAAGTGAAACATTCACATCCAACGTTGAATTTAAATCTGAGTATTTAACTTAAGACGAATTTCAAGTGATAACCACTGGTACAGGCCGTGGACACGTATAAAAAGAGAAAGGGAGAGGACGAGCGCGCGTTTGGATACGCATCATCTATACGTAACATCGTGTGAAGTCTAAGACTACCGCTGTCACGCACGGGATGTTACTGTCGACTTGCTGTATCATAGTTCTCATCGAAACCATCGCTAGAAGGAGCGAGATGTAGCCAAACGCGTCGAAACGGCTCCGGACATCGTTCATGGAGATTATCGGGTTGTGTACTAAGTAATTTTGGATTTATCAGGTAAAATGGAACGCTTGTACTTTTGTATCATTATAATTCTATGAGACAATATGTGCGTGTGTTATGTTTTAACCTGTAATCTTCTGTTTCACCTTTCACATACATTGTTTCATAAAGTTATAACGAAATAGAAATATAAACGTTTCATTTCAGCAATCCGAAAGTTCTCATTACACGACCCAATATTTCTCTGACGGAGAGTTAACACATTGTTAATCGGCTGCTTTCAATGTTCAACCTGTGGTTCTCGGTCTTATTTCGATCATTGTCGAAACTCTCGGTCATCAACAATGTTCGATTACACGGAGAAAAATAATTTGCTGGCAAATTTTCCGCTAATCTAGCAAAATCTTTTCGTTATTATATGAACAGCAAAAAGACTTACTAAGAGTATTAATTACTATTTGCTGGATATAATTTGCTGAATCTACAAATTATTTTGCTGTAAGAACCATGATGGATTTATATAAGCAGTTGCACTTTTGTTCCGATAGCAAATAAATTTGCTAAGGATAAATTTGC